AGGAACAGCAGGAGTCATAACAGCAGCAAGAGGAATAGCAGGGTCATAACAGCAGCAAGAGGAACAGCAGGAGTCATAACAGCAGCAGAGAGGAATAGCAGGAGTCATAACAGCAGCAAGAGGAACAGCAGGGTCATAACAGCAACAAGAGGAACAGCAGGAGTCATAACAGCAACAAGAGGAACAGCAGGAGTCATAACAGCAACAAGAGGAACAGCAGGAGTCATAACAGCAGGACCACATCTCGGGCGTGGCTGTACAACACACACACACACACAGCAACATCCGTCACGCTCACCTCACACTTAATAGTCTGTATCCTGGCCTCAACACCCCCCGCACGCACACGCACACGCACACACACACTAAATCTACGACCCCTTAACCAACAGGATGAACACATCGATGTCATTACCGACGTCATTAAATAAACACAGGTGAGAGGGAGGCGTGGAGGGAGAGGGGAGGAGTAGGGAGGAGGAAGAGGAGGAATGGTTGAGGAAGGACACCTGAGTACACCTTCCGCAGTCAGCTGATAATCATTGTTTACATTCTGACGTGGCTGTCGGAAGACCTCTTATGGGAGTGTAATTCTCTCGTCTCTAATACACCTGTGGCCTGCCTATACACCTGATATACCTGTCATTAGTGTCATATAAACACGCTACAAGCACCATAAACACAACATTATATACAAGTGGTGTATCTCTTATTATAACACTATACATAATATATTTGAGCATTAAAAGACAAGTATCACGTATGACTTTTTTTTTCCCACAGTGGATATCTCTCTTGCTTCATACACCCGCCACTAGACCAATACTCACACCTGATAAACCTGTCATTAACGTAATTTTGACATGTCATAAATGTCTCTCTCACACACACACACACACACACACACACAGGATCTACTTACATATTTTCTGTTATCATACGATTGTCGATAGTCACTTGTGTTATAGGTCAGGTGTCTCAAATATTCTCCTTTATGTGTAGCCTTGCCCCCCTCCACCTCTTCCTCTCTCTTCCTCCCTCCTCTCTCTCCCTTCCACCTCTTCCTTCCTCCTTTCACCTCTTCTTCTCTCTCCCCTCCACCTCTCCCTCCTTCCCTTCATCTCTTCTGTATAATAGTTTGGTCGACTATGGGGTCAGTGTCCGCTCATAATGTTGCTTATGGTCTAAGTGCCGCCGCCGCCACCATCACCAACAATCTTCCTCCTCCACACACCACTATCACAACAATCTTCCTCCCTCACCCACAACACCACCACCAACAACAATCCTCCTCCTCACCTGCAACCACCATCACCAACAATCTTCCTCCTTCACACCACCACCATCACCAACAATCTTCCTCCCTCACCACAACACACCACCATCACAACAATCTTCCTCCCTCACCCCAACACCACCATCACCAACAATCTTCCTCCTCACCACAACACCACCATCACCAACAATCTTCCTCCTCACCACAACAGCACCACCACCAACAATCTTCCTACCTCACCACAACTACCAACAACAACAATCCTCCTCCCTCACCAGCACCACACCACCAACAATCCTCCTCCTCCACCCACCACCGTCACCAACAATCCTCCTCCCTCTCACAGCACCATCATCAACAGTGTCGTAACCACAATCACTATACGTTACACTGGCCACTACCACACCATCACGACTACACCACACGCTACCACAAACACCACAGCAATACTTATCACTTGTTGCAATCACCATTATTATCCGTGCTGCTTTACTGCATCAACTATGCGTCATCTGCCATCACTTACATCCTACCCTGCCATCTTTCTGCCACCGTCGCTGTACGTCCTGCTGCCATCGCTGCTGCATCCTGCCCTGCCATCGTCCTTTTACGTCCTGCACTGCCCATCACTGCTACGCCTCACGCCTGCCACCGTCGCTGCTACTTCACTGCCGCCATCACTCTGCATCACTACTACGCCGTCGCTGCTACGTCCTGCCTCTGCATCGCTGCTGCGTCCTGCACTGCCACCATCTTTCTGCGTCCTGCACCCTGCATCTCTGCCGTCACTGCTGCATCGCTGCTCTACGTCCTGACGCCTGCCATCCTTCCTGCCACTCACCACATCACTGCTACGTCCTGCACTGCCACCATCACTACTCGTCCCACTGCCACCATCACTGCAATCCTGCACTGCCACCATCGTGCTGCGTCCCACTGCCACCGTCGCTGCTGCGTCCTGCACTGCCGCCATCACTGCTGCATCCTCTGCCATCACTGCTGCCGCTGCATCTTTCTTCCATCACTGCACTGCCACCATCACTTTCTACGTCCTACACTGCCACCATCCTGGCCTACATCCTGCCCTACCACCATCACTTTACCACCATCGCTGCTACGTCCTGCACTGCCTGCCATCTGCTACCATCCTGCACTACCACCATCCTGCTACCACCGTCACTCTGCATCTACGCTGCCACCATCACTGCTGCATCCTCCCACCATCACCTGCCGCCATCGCTACCGTCCTGCTACCATCGCTTTCCTACTAGTGCTGCATCTCTACCGCCATCACTACTGCACCATCACTCACCCGTCCTGCACTACCCACCATCCCTGCTGCGTCACTACCACCATCACTGCACCGTCCTACTGCTTCACCACCATCCTACTGCCACCATCACTGCTTCATCCTGCACTGCCACCATCGCTACTACGTCCTGCACTGCCACCATCACTGCTACCGCATCCTTGCATCACCACCATCACTCTACCGCATCGCTGCATCCTGCTGCCACCATCCACTGCTACGTCCTCTTGCCTGCCATCACTGCTACCGCCATCGCTGCTACGTCCTGCCCTACCACCATCACTACTGCTGGTGCTACATCCTGCACCATCACTACTGCCACCATCACTTTACTACGTCTGCACCATCCGCTCCATCCCTGCACTACCACCATCACTTTCACTGCGTCCTGCCTGCCATCACTGCTGCATCTCCACTGCCACCATCTGCTCTGCATCCTGCACTGCCACCACTACTACCACCATCACTTTCTACATCCTGCCTGCCACCATCAGCTACTGCATCCTGCCACGCCATCGCTGTGTCCTCTGTCGCTTTCATCCTTCACTGCTACTCCTGCACCACCATCTTCATCCTGCCACGCATCACTGCTACCGCCATCACCCGTCCCTGCACTTTCTGCGCCATCGCTGCATCCTGCCTACCATCACTGGTGCGTCTGCTACCATCGCTACTGCATCCTGCACCTGCCACCATCTTTCACCGTCTGCCGCATCCTGCTGCATCTGCACTGCCGCCGTCGCTGCTACGTCACCGCCTGTCGCTGCTGCGTCCTGCCACCATCACTCTCATCCTGCACTGCCGCCGTCGCTGCTGCGTCTGCACTGCCACCGTCACTGCTTCCTGCCTGCCATCTTTCCTCTGCCGTCCTGGTGCATCCTGCCATCGCTCTGCCTGCACTCTACCATCCGCTCACCGTCCTGCTGCCACCATCGCTCTGCGCCCTACTGCCATCCTTTCACTGCGTCCCCTACCACCATCACTGCTGCCCTCTTCTGCCATCACTGGTGCGTCCTGCCATCGCTACTGCATCCTGCACACCATCCACTACTCGTCCTCTTTTCTGCACCATCACTTTCTGCGTCCCTGCACTGCCGCCATCCTGCTGCCGTCCTGCACTGCCGCCATCGCTCTTCGTCCTGCACTGCCATCGCTGCTGCGTCCTCGCTGCCGCCGTCGCTCGTCTGCCTGCTGTCCGCTGCTGCGTCCTGCACTGCCGCCATCGCTTTCTGCGTCCTGCGCTGCCGCCATCTGCTGCGTCCTGCACTGCCACCATCCTTTCTGCGTCTGCACTCCGCCATCGCTACTGCACCTCACACTGCCATCCTTTCTTTACGTCCTCTCTGCCCCATCGCTGCTGCGTCCTCCACTGCCATCCCATCGTGCATCCTGCCACCGCCATCCTTTCGTTCCTCACTGCCGCCATCACTGGTGCGTCCTGCTGCCATCGCTTTCTGCGCCCCTGCACTGCCGCCATCGCTGCTTCCATCCTGCCCACTGCCGACCGTCCACTTCTGCGTCCCTGCCGCCATCCTTGCGTCCTGCACCGCCGTCCACTCTTTCACCCCCACTGCCATCACTTTCCTTTCATCCTTGCTGCACCATCACTCTGCTGCGCCTCACTGCCCCGCCATCGCTGCTGCATCCTGCACTACCATCCTTTCTTGCATCCTGCACCACCGTCGCTGCTGCCCTGCACTACCATCGCTTTCCGTCCTGCACTGCCGCCATCGCTGCCTGCATCTGCGCTGCCATCGTTTCTCCATCGCTGCTGCGTCTGCACTGCCGCCGTCGCTGGTGCATCTCACTGCACCATCGCTGCTGCGTCCTGCGCTGCCACCGTCGCTGGTGCGTCCTGCACTGCCGCCGTCGCTGTTGCGTCCTGCACTGCCACCATCTGCTTCTCCTTCACCACCATCCTGCGCTGCGTCCTGCACTGCCGCCATCGCTCTTCGCTCTGCCATCCTTTCATTACGTCCTGCACTGCACCATCGTTTCTGCGTCCTGCTGCCACCATCCTGGTGCATCCTGCACTGCCGCCATCGCTGCTACGTCCTCTGCCTGCATCGCTGCTGCGTCCTCCTGCCGTCGCTGCTGCGTCCTGCACTGCCGCCATCGCCACCATCCTGCACTGCGCCCGCATCGCTCTGTCCTCCTCTTTCTGCCGCCATCGCTGCTGCCACCGTCGCTGCCGTCCTGCACTCTGCCGCCATCGCTGCTGCGTCCTGCACTGCCGCCGTCGCTGCTTGCGTCCTGCACTGCCGCCGTCGCTGGTGCGTCCTGCGCTGCCGCCTCGCTGCTGCGTCCTGCTGCTGCCGCCGTCGCTCTTTGCGCCCTGCGCTTCGCGCTTTCTTCCGTCCCTGCACTGCCGCCGTCGCTGCTGCGTCCTGCACTGCCCGCCGTCGCTGCCTGCCATCACTGCTTCCTGCGCTGCCGTCGCTGCTGCGTCCCCTGCCGCCATCGCTTTGCACGTCCTGCACTGCCACGCATCGCTGCTGCGTCCTGCATGCCTGCATCGCTGCTGCGTCCTGCACTGCCGCCATCGCTGCCGTCCCTGCGCTGCCATCGCTGCTGCATCCTGCACTGCCGCCATCGCTGCTGCATCCTGCACTGCCTGCATCGCTGCTGTCGTCCTGCCTGCCATCGCTGCTGCGTCCTGCACTGCCGTCGCTCCGTCGCTGCTGCGTCCTGCGCTGCCCGCCGTCGCTGCTGCGTCCTGCGCTCCGCCGTCGCTGCTGCGTCCTGCGCTGCCGCCGTCGCTGCTGCGTCCTGCGCTGCCGCCGTCGCTGCTGGTCGCCTGCTGCTGCCGCCGTCGCTTTCTGCCGCCGTCCTTTCTGCGTCCTGCGCTGCCGCCGTCGCTGCTGCGTCCTGCACTGCCGCCGTCACTGCTCCGTCACTGCCGCCGTCGCTGCTGCGTCCTGCACTGCCGGCATCGCTTCTTTGCGTCCTGCCCTGCTGCACCATCGCTGCTACGTCCTGCACTGCCACCATCGCTGCTGCGTCCTGCGCACCTGCTGCCGCTACTACGCCTGCACTGCCGCCATGCTGCCCGTCCTGCCTGCCGCCGTCGCTGCACGTCCTGCACTGCCGCCATCCTGCTGCGTCCTGCCCTGCACCGTCGCTGCCCGTCTGCACTGCCGCCGTCGCTGCTGCGTCCCGCTGCCGCCGTCGCTGCTGCGTCCTGCGCTGCCGCCGTCGCTGCTGCGTCGCCACTGCTGCGCCGTCGCTGCTGCGTCCTGCGCTGCCGCCGTCGCTGCTGCGTCCTGCCTGCCGTCGCTGCTGCGTCCTGCACTGCCGCCGTCGGCTGCGTCCTGCGCTGCCGCCGTCCTGCTGCGTCCTGCACGCCACCGCCGTCCTTTCTGCGTCTGCCCACCTGCCATCGCTGCTGCGTCCTGCGCTGCCGCCATCGCTGCTGCGTCCTGCCTGCCGCCATCCCCACACGTCAACACCATCACGCCAGATGTCGCCGCAAATGCTGCTGCTGACGGCACTGCCACTTCACTGCCAGCCACCACCACCACCTGAACATGCCGCCATCACCACCCGCAACCGAGCGATAATGGCCCGGCTCACCGCTTTACTTGCCAGCCACCCGCCGCCACCAAGAACGCACGCCGCAACCATCACGCCGCCATCAACAGACGATAATGGCCGGCTTTTCACCATGCTGCGCCAGCCACGCCACCTGCAGACCGCATCTGCTCCGCCACCGTGATGAGCGATAATGGCACCACCACTTCACTACCAACCACACCACCACACAGGCGTTGCCGCGCCTCACCGTAACGAGCGATAGCCGTAACACTACCGCTTCGCTGCCAACCACACCACCACCACAAACGCATACCGCCACTCCACCACCACGATATCGCGCACCACCGCTTTTACCAGCAACCACACCACCACACCGCCACCGCCGCTCCCACCACCATAACAGGCGATATGCTTGGCCACCGCTTCTGCCAACCACACCACCGCAAACACGCCCACCACCACTCACCTGCATGTGGCGATAATGGCACCACCACTTCACTGCCAACCACACCACCACAAACGCATGCCGCCGCTCCACCGCCGCCAACGCACGTGTGGCGAAAATAATAATGAGCAACATGCTAGACGCGTTATATAATTGCCGGTTTC